TACAGCTTAGGGGAAGGCCAGGCAGTAATTTAAAGATGATACTTCCTCCTATCCCACTCCTTTGCAAATTTTGTAAGAACCAAATAGTGATTTGCTCTTTCTTAGTCTTGGACTTAAAGCACTGGCTATATCCCCTGTAGTGTGCTAACCAGCAGAGAAATGACACATGCTCATGTGAGATGACTAACATGTAGATCATGCAAGAGAAAATAATTTGCTGCTGTTTTATGGCAAATATTACTTATTTTATGTTTGCTCTCAAACAGGCGTGTCAAGCTTATCTGGCCCCAGGGACAGGTGAGTAGCATGGGGCTGGTCCATGGGCCAGGTTAGGCCCTTGGAATTTTTGCATCCCTGACCAGCACCGTACCTAGACTCCTGGCGGCCCTGGGCGAACTTTTAGTATTGGGCCCCCCTTCACCAGAGATAATGATAATCATTTAAAAATTACCATTTTCAGGCCTGCTTTCTGCCTGGGCCCCAGGTGGCTGCCCAGTTTGCCCATGCCTGTGTCCAGCCCTGTCCTCAATCTAGCACAGCTGGCACCCACCCAGACTAGTTCAGGACACCTACCCAAGTGGGCACTGCATATGGCACAACTCAAGGCCAGTCCCATCCAGTGCCAGTGCACATCTCAGGCATTGTGTGCGGGGATGGTCAGGCATAGGGGCTGGATTATGGGGCTTCACAGGCCATTTGTTGGAGATCCCTGCTCTAAAGAATGACACCTGAAACTTGTTTTTTTAAACAGTTTGATTTCAGAAACATAACTTTTAAGTCTTTGTACCCTCTATGTATTTGTTTTGTTTTATACTTTATAATGTTTGTTTTTCCTTTTAAAGAGAAAAATTCAAACCTGCAGTGGAGGTGCTGCCTGTGTTGCACTGAAAACTTTGAAACACTGCATTCCCCCTGGATATGGGTGTGCTGTTTAGCTAGTGGATTCTGCTAAAGATAAAAAGCTGATAGGACTGCTTACTCATGAGCAAATTATTGGCAAAAGAACTCTGTTGGAAAACTTGGTTTGAAAGATGATGTTACAGCTACTATTAATAGCTTTTCATACACTGTAAAGACAAACTTCCTCAGGAATGAGGAAAAGAGAAAGTAAGGCAAAAAAACAACACACAAGGAGCAGGAAGGGAGGGACTTTCAACTTTCAGCAGACCACACTGCCTTTACCAGAATTAGTCAGCTACTTCTAGAGCAGCATTTCTCAACCCATAGGTCACAAGAATGCATGAAACGACACAAACAAGCTTTAAAAATGGATCGTATTTTCCATACATTTTTGAAAAAAAAAAAACCAAATGCTGCTTTTACTGTACCATATGTTAAAGCTGTGTATAGTAATGAACAGGGATCCAGGATTTCTGTTTGCCTTGAAAAAACTGGATGATCTCCTTTTAAAGGAGAAATACATAGGAAACTGGGTTTCACCTTGCAGGCTCTACCCCAGAGGGAAAATGGGGTGAGGGGCAGCGCGGATGCCTGAGGGGAGTGGTGGCCATGACCAGGTCATGGGAGCAGGATAGAGCTGTGTCCTGGTGTGCAAGCAACTGGCAGCAGGATGAGATGAGGGTAGTGCAGCTCCCTCTCATCCATTACTTCTCGCCAGGGTCCCGGCAGCAGCAGCAAGTCTTGCCACCCCACTCTGCCCTCCCACACTGGGTCCTGCCTGCTGCGCCACGGAGGTGGTTCCTAATCATGCCAGTCTGCAGCCTCATGCCTGTTGTAGGTGCACAAATCTGAGGGGCCATGTGCACTCCCACCCCCTGCACAACATACTGGGAGGCTGGGGCCTGGGGGCAGCAGGTCAGGGTTGGGGTTGGGGTTGGGAATGAGCAGCACTGGAAGGGCCAGGGGCTGTTTTCTACTCAAAGTATTTTGGGTTGGGACTGGCCATCAATGATTACAAATGGATTTTGGTACAAACAAGTTTGAGAACCACTGATTTAGAGCACCACAGGGAAAAAGGTGCCTCTAACTGAGTGTGAATTGGACAGTCATGGTATGGAGGGTGAAGGGAGAGGCTGAAATTTCCCAGTTAGTGATCTGGGAGATTTCTCAAACATTAGTTTAGGATGCAATGTATTTGAGCTAGTTAAGTCTGTGCGCCTGCCTGCCACTGCCCCTTTCTCCATATATATGGTAGGCCTCGGTCCCCCACGCTGTGCAGATCCTCCTTGCACTGTTTCCCCACCTCATTCTCCTGCCACAGTGTCATGTTCTGTCAGTGGGTAGGTCCCATGGGTGAGGTAGGTTGGGAAGGAAGAGGTCCTGTTGGCCAAACTTAGTGCCTCCTCCAGCTGCAACTCCTCAAGGGCTCCTGGTGGGAGGTCTGTTACAGCAGGTCATCAGCTCAGCAGCATCTTTTAGACCCAATCTCATCACTTGCCTGCATGAGCTTCCCTGACAGGAGCTGTTCTCTTCCACCGATAAAGCAGCTGTCCCCAAAGTGCCGAAGCCCTTCCCTTGTCTCTCTCTGAGGGCAGGGCCTCCTATTACATTTTATTCCTCATAAAAGATCCTTCTTCCTCTTCTCTGCAGTGGGGACTAAAGAGGGTCTATGTTACAGTCCATTTAATTATTTTGATCCCTTTTGGATCCTGGTTGCTTCTCTTGAGGGATAGTTACCATATTTACATGCATGCCCCGTGCACCCGAGGCAGAGTGGAAAAAAACGTAATTTTCTTGCCAGCAGCATAAACACAGGCTAGTGCAGGGAAGGGGAGCAACAGCCTATGGCTGCTCCATTAACCCTCTGCCAGCTGGTTGGCTGCAGGCATTTCTCCCTCAGCAGTCATGTCTGCAGTAGCAGGATCTGTCCCAGCAACAGGTTGAGGGTGTTCCTTCAGCATGCGCACAGAAAGTAACACCACAAGCTTTAAAATGGATATTTTGCATACAGTTTTGAAAACAGCAAATGCTGCTTGTGCTGAAGGAACTCCCACAAGCTGCTGCTTGAGCAGACCCTGCTGCTACAGATGTTGCTACTAAGGGAGGAATTGCCCACAGCCATGCAGTCAGTAGCTAGGGGGTTAATGATGACCCCCCCACTCATTTCCTGTTGCTCTCCCCTCCTGCATCTGCCCATGGTGATGCTACTCACAAGATAAGAAATAGTGGAGCTGAACCCCAACTTGCCAGAAACATAGACTTATGTTGAGTCAGTAGCAGCTTCTGCAGTGTCTGCCTGGGAAGGTACAAGGGGGGAAAGGGAAAAATAAAACTGTATGCTGCGTGGCAGCTCCTGTTGTCCACAGCCAGCAGCTAGGGAGCCCTAATGTACTCGCTGTGCTGTGCCCTGTGTGGCACACGCACGGTTACTCTCCCTTTTCCACAACAGAGGCTTCTGGTTGCTGCAGAAGCCACTGTTGACCCAACATGCGCTTCTGTCCTGGCAGCAGCTTGAGAAGATCCCAGAGTTTAGCTGTATTTTCTCCCTTACTAGTCCTGTGCTCCCACCCCATATTTTCAGCAACTTATTAAAAAAAAAAAAAGTGGGGTATGTGAGAAAATATGGTATGCACTGTCATTCTTCCTCTTACCTATAGGTTATGGAAGCAGGTGAATGTTTATATGAATAATTTAATTGAATTAGTAGTCACCGTGGTGGCTGCAAAGCTAAATACCTAGTCAGGATGTGGAATTATTTTTAATAACTACATTGGTTATAAGAATTGAATGAGCATATAAATATGACACCAGTGCAGCAAAATATTCCAGGTTTCTAAATCAAGGTAACTGTCAAGTCAATCCATGTTTATACAAAATATTCCCTTTAAGTTTGATCACTCTCCTGTGGGAAGGATGTTATAACTACAGCATCATAAGAGTTGTGGAGGATCTGCAAAACACTGGAAGTGCCAAAACTCTTTGCTAACATACCCATAGATTTCTCCAGTATATTTGGCTTCAACAAAGCAATGATGGGTTTAGAGCAGCCCTAGTTAGTGATTACTGGCTGTGTCTAAACTAGATCTAGTCTAAATATTTGAGGAGTTTTTATAGTAAAGAGAAATACTCCTGTGAGTGGACTACGTTTATGTTAGTCACGTGCAAAACAGCAAAGGGAGTAATGCTGGTAGAGTTAATAGGTGTGGGGGATTCTAGATACCTCCTTTTCGGCTTGTATTGCAAATGCAAAGGCTCTTGCTGGCATTGAGATGCCTGCTTGTAGTCCTAAAGCAATCAAACTTCTCCTTTCCAAGCTATTCCACATGAAGCCCACTCACATGAATCAGTAGAAAGGACCGTGGTCTTAGAACAACTATAAAACTGCATACTTTTTCATAGGCAGTTCAACCTGGCATTGGCTCTGGAGTGCACAGCCATATTTAACTTGTCATGTTCCAAGTATTTTGGAAAATATTATGGATTTTTATGGATCTTACTTTTAATTTAAGTATCGACCACACGCTCTTTGTCCCTGGATGTATTATTACCTTGCATTTTTCAGGTTGACTCTCATGGCATTTCTTGACTATAACTTTGCCTTAAGGCTTTGTCTTTCCTACCATGAATGATGAAACCATTTACTAACAGAAGAAACAAACTCTTTTTATCTGCAATTTTTTCTTTAAGGACACTTTTCCCAATCTAGTCCTTCCGTGGAAGATGTACCAAGGATAAACACAGTAATTAGAACAAAAGAAAGCAGTAAGCTTTTAGTAAAACTAGGTATAGTTAACAATTCATGTAAATAGTTGTTTTGGAATACTTGTTTAGGAAAGAGGTCTCAGACTGCTTCTCTTCCTTTTGGGCAATCCCAGACAGACCATTTTCAAACTATCTTTAGTTCTTATTAAAGGGAGAGAACCAACCCTTCATTGAAATTAGTGAGGGAAGGTTGCTTCTGAAAAAAAGTTTTGTACAGTTTCTAGTTAACATTTCTTCTTTTTACGATCCCTGAAAATTTATGCATTGTGTTAAGGGACAACTGTAGAAAAAAGGGGCTTGGGATATCCACAAGACTGAATAAATATTTTGCTTTACAGGTTACATGTCTTGCTTGTGACAATAAATCAAATACTATAGAACCGTTCTGGGATCTGTCACTGGAGTTTCCTGAGAGGTACCACTGTAATGAGAAAGAAATGGCATCTCAGCACCCCTGTTTGCTAACAGAAATGTTGGCCAAGTTTACAGAGACTGAAGCTTTAGAAGGAAAGATATATGCGTGTGATCAGTGCAACAGTGAGTAAAGGCAGTATGTACTCATGTATATAGTATGTTATATGTTTTCCATGTAATTATTAACATAGGCATTAAGACCATAGGGAAAAAGAAACAGTAATTAAAAAGGTGAGGCACACTTTAGTTAAGTCAACAGTGTACTAGGTGCCTTGATGTAAATAGCTGAAGTGTTTCTCTCAAGTGCATAACCTGGAAGTACTCAGAAACGTTCAGGGGCATTTTGTATTGCCAGGCATTCTAAAATAATCCTTATGATCTGGATCCAAAAACATGCATTTGTATTAAGGTGACTTTATGTTAATATCAGCATTAAAGTTTAAATAGTGGGTAAGTCTGGAAGTTAAATGTGAGCATATTTAACAACTGGTATTTAAAACTGCGTTGCCCAGAGTATGATACATTTAGTATAAACTCAATGTGTGTGTTTGATCACAGCAAAACGCAGAAAGTTTTCCTCCAAACCAGTAACACTCTCAGAAGCCCAGAAACAACTTATGGTGTGTCGACTACCTCAAGTTCTAAGACTACACCTTAAACGATTCAGGTAAGCAGAGTTAGGAATTATTTCCAGATGTTACAAACTATCTTTTGGGCAGAATAGTTCAGTCATTGTTCTTCCATGCTCTCTGTCTAGTGGGACGGCAAGCAAAATCAGCCATTGGAAAATATTTCTAAATAGTCTCTCTTGAACAGGGGTGAGCAAAATAGATGTGGGCTGCCAAGGGATTTTATCTGGCCCACAGTGGGTTCCTCCATCCCTATCTGGCCCAGGGGGGAGCCTGGGCTGTGGCACATGTGGCTGATCTTATCACCGCAGGTGCACAGCAAGACTGGAGTGGCACAACAGCCAGACTCAGCTTTCCAGCAGCCCTGGTGGTAGTGGCTCCTTGTGGTTGCTGCTGCCAGTGTCACTGCCCTGCGATCCTGGCCCCTGCTCATCCTGCTCCCAGACACCACTCCCTGCCTGCCCGTGGCCCCATCCTATCTGTCCAGCCAAACTGGAGTTCTGGGCCAGTCTCCATATAGACCCCACCCATCTGCTGTCTCCAGCACCCCCAACAATGGTTGCAGGGCAGATGGGCCCAGGCAGACAGGATCAATTACCACCTCCCCCCTTCCTCCCCCACTGCTACGCTAGGAAGGGTCAAGC